TTGGAGTGCAGATTTCGTGGCAGGCGCAGGACTTTGTAGACCTTGAAGTGCAGATTTCGTGGCAGGTGCAGTGCTTTGCGGGCCTTGAAGTGCCGATTTCGATTTCGTGGCAGGTGAAGGACTTTGTGGATGTTGAAGTGCAAACAGATAGATAGATAGATAGATAGATAGGAAAGAAAGAAAGAAAGATAGAAAGATAGATAGATCGAGAGATAGATAAATAGATATAGACAGACAAATGGATAGGTAGACAGATTTGCATTGGAATAGTGTAGGTGTCAGACTATCACAACAGTTTGGTGCAGTTAGCAGAAAAGCAAAGAGAAAGGTTTCGTGGCAGGCGCGGGTGGCGGAGATGAAGTGCAGATTTCGTGCAGCTCTTGCTTGCTTGCTTGCTTGCTTCCTTGTTTGGGTTCTTCTCTGCAAAGCGAATAAAAGGAAAAGCACAACACAACAGACAGATAGACAGACAAACAGATAGATATAGACGGATAGATATAGACAAATATGGACTAGTAGCAAACAGCCACAAAAGCCAAAAGCCACAAAAGCCACAAAAGCCACGAAAGCCAAAAGCCACAAAAGCCACAGAAACCACGAAAGCCACAAAAGCCAGAAGCCACAGAAGCCACAGAAACCACGAAAGCCACGAAAGCCACGAAGCCACAGAAGCCACGAAAGCCACAAAAGCCAAAAGCCACAGAAGCCACGCAAGCCACAGAAGCCACAGAAGCCACAGAAGCCACGAAAGCCACAGAAGCCACAGAAGCCACGAAAAACAACAAAAAATCCTTTTTAAAAAAATCCTCAATTAAATGGCCCTCCTATATAATCCTGTCGTCTAGGCTAGGTTCCAAAAGTGATATTGATATACAGTCATGCTGCCTTCAACTTGGTGGTGAAAATCTGTGTAGAGCACAAGCCCGTTCCTTGGTCTTGGTGACAAGAAACATTGGGCGCATGGAAGTCATGGAAGTCTTGTCTTTGCGCAAAAGCAAGAGCTGCCAATGTTTTGTTTGCTTAGCCGCCAGTCCCACAAGAAGCGCAAGGATTGACAAGATTCGACAGAAAAAATTCTACGTGTTCTACCAAGTCACATCATGACGACAAAGTAAATCACTAAGACCATTTTGGGAATCTGCATGTTCCAGAAGTTGTACATGCAAGACCTCGCTTCAAAGTACAATGACAAGTACTTGCAAAGTCTGAATGACAAGTTCCACCAGCTAAGCCAGCAGCAACGCATGGCACGCACAAATTGCAAACCTAAGAGGAACGCAATGAAACCGATGTGCACCCAGAATACACCTTGATAGTTCTGATAGGCCGGACCCGCAGGCACGGTTCATTATATTGAGCTGTTCGTGAGCCCGACGGGCCTAAAACTTGTGGCCCAGAGGGGGGTGGCGAAAGTTAGGCAAAGAATCAACGCTGGGGCTCTTTTGAAAGCCTGGCCGGGAATCGCAACATGCTATGGCCGAGGGAAAAGGAGAGTGCCAACAACGCCCCCCGATTACGACCCCAACACAGCCAACACATGGCAACACACAACCACTCCAGCAACAGCAGCAGCAGCAGCAACAGCCACAAAAACAATAACTGTAACCAGCAGCGGCAGCGGCAGCAAGCAGAAGCTACCAAGCAGCAGCAGCAGCAGCAGCTACCAAGCAGCAGCAGCTACCAAGCAGCAGCAGCTACCAAGCAGCAGCAGCATCAGCAGCTACCAAGCAGCAGCTACCAAGCAGCAGCTACCAAGCAGCAGCTACCAAGCAGCAGCAGCAGCAGCAGCCACAACAACAATAACGGTAACCAGCAGCAGCAGCGGCAGCAGCAGCAGCTACCAAGCAGCAGCAGCATCTGGGCGATTTCTAAGTCTGGTGGGGTGACGAGACATCCTAGCTGTTCCTTCAGCAATACCCAAAGCAAGGGAATGAAAATCGAGCCACAAATATGGGCATTCTGTCCAGGATATCTCAGCAGGGGCCACCTTATTTCCATCCTGCAACCACCCCTGACCTAATCCGCAATCCGCTCATACGATCTAATCCGTAAACATACCTAATCCGTCATCCGGTGGGGGATTAGGATTGGTTATGAGCAGCCCAGTTATAGTTATATATATATATATACCATGTTATACTCACCCTCTCGTTGCGCGGTCTGAGTGAGACGCGCCAACGGCATATGCGTCACGCAGGCGACATACGCACAAATGCCACTATACAGCGGGGCTTTCCCCGCACCCCAATGCAGAAGCACACTAACTAGGAAAAGGCGTTTTCCACGACTCGGTCGTGCGCCCAGCACCGGCCTTTAAGGCGGCAGCCAAAAAGAAACGAGAAACATCGGACATGTAAAAGGAGGCACCAACCACGGCACCTTGGCACAAAACTCTGCCACATGACTTTGCGAAACCAGGGGACATCTCACCTGGAAAAGGTTGACACTGTGGGTCCTTAGCAAGCCATTGCAGACATTGACGCACCTTTGTCAACACGTCGTGAATCAGCAGAGATGCATGGTTGTCAAGTTGATGGCCATCCACATGCAATGCAATAGCCAATTCACAAAAGGCAGCACTCTCATCTGATCCAGTCTTCCAACGCAGGTTCCGTAAAAACGCGCATATGACCTCCCAATCGTGCTCAGAGTGCCTCCACTTCTTCGGCGGTTTCTGGGTCGCCGGAATTTTTGGTTTCCAGCTGTAACCAGCGACTGTCACCCCCCACGGCCATTTCGGGAAAAAACCCGGTGCATTAGCTAAAGTAAGGTCTTCTGCGCCTGCCTGTCTGTGAGGCTGGTTATCCTCATTCGTTGCATCACAAACAGATGAGGTGTCGAGGTGGCAATGAAGCCGTGTGAGCCACTCTTGGTGCAGCGTAGTAGCGGCAAGAAGCTGGCGTTGTATTTCAGGCCGAACAGGAGATGCGAGCAAGGCCTGTTTCTTAGCCTCCTGGTCAGCTATCCGGTTTAAACGGATGTGGCGTACAGTGGCGCCAGCAGCCGCTGCCACCTCTTCTGTAAGCTCATTCTCAACAAGGTTCTCCAACTTGTGTGCAGGAATCCAGGTAAATTTGCTTCCACCAAGAAAAACACTTCCACTCGGATTGAATGCCTTCCTCTGCAATCATGTACTGACATTGCTCAGCTACCGACTTGCTGTCAGTGTAAACATGAACAGGTGCGCAACAAGAAGAGAAGGCAGTCCATATGGCCCACAACTCAGGAACGTAGCTGCTCAGCGTAAGGGCCTGAACAGGCCCAGATTTGCAAATGGTGCCATCCTGCCGAACAACGGCATAGGCAGCCGTAGCAGTCCAGTGATGTTGTTGCCAAATCAAGGAGCCATCAGTCCAGAGTTCCTCGGTGTCAAGCATGGCATCAAATGACGCAGCATCTGTTGCTTCAGCTTTAGATAACCTAATACGGTGTCGTGCAATTGCGGTAGGGTGTTCAAAGATGCCCAACAGGGCAAAGTTTGCACCAAATTCATGCAAGACCGGTGTGCTGGTCCAAGAATGATAGACAGTGCACTCAAAAACGATATGGGCAAGGGTCTCTTTGGTTTTACCACAAAAACGGCACCACGAATCGGAAGCCCAACCCGTAGCACACAAACGATCTTTCGTGAGCGTACAGCCGACGAGCACTGATTCAAAATGTGACACTGCCGAAGGGAAAGCTGGCGTTTGAAATGTTGGGTGATGCAAGAAGTTTGTGCTCAATCTCAAATCAAGCAACCCACTAGGTTTACAAACATCTTTCCTCTTTTTATGTGTCACCGAGAAATATTGCGCTTGTAAAGCAATCTGTTGCAAAAACCGTCGCATCTCCAGGGGTAAACACTCGGAACCATGGAAGCTAATTGCAAGAGATGTATTGACAGTGAGGCCCAGGGTATCACACGCTGAGTGATAGGCTGCAACCAAGGAATGCTTGGGGCCATTCTTTGATTCATTGAGTGCCTGCATCCGTGACACTGCGATTTCATTCCCAAAGCAAAACCTGAACACGTCCAACAAGCAATTATATGCCATGGCAATGAAAGGGTCCGCACGGTGGGGGCTCCCAAAGAATGTCATCACAAGGTGCTTGGCACGGATGCCTGGTCGGCCCTGCCATAGCGCTTTAGCGACTGTGTTCTGCACCTTCTGAAGGGCAGCTTTGGGTGTTTTAGAGATGTGTGAACCATAAGTGAGCTTAGGGATGGCCTTAGCACCAATGAGTTGGGACTTAATATTCCTCGGGATGGGAAGGGCACCAATCGCCTCAATCGCAGTGCATACATGCTGCAATGTTTGAGAGTTGAACTTGTAGTCATCTTTATCTGAGGTATATATCCTAGTGCCCAGGGTGTCCAAAGCATGAACTAACTTCATGTCAGGAAAGGCACAAGCAACGGCTTTGCGAGCAGTACCTGTCGTACCCCAGATGGATGATTTGGAGTCATTTAGTTTCTGACCATTTATTTCATCCCACAGGCGCGTGAGTTCAATGGCTCTAGACAGTACATCAATTCTCTGCAAGTGGCACCAAATATAGGCGTCGTCAACGAATGCTCGCATGGACAGGTCAGGAAGCAATTCCAACAGGTGCACCCACACCTTGGTATGGACGTTGACTGCTATGAGAGAGATGGAGCATCCTTGGACAACACCATTTGGGGCTGTCGTACTTATGGGGTTTATCCATCCTTTATAGGCGATATGACGCCTGAGACTGTCATACATACGAAGAAAAACACTGACAAAGAATGCAGGCAAACCGAAAGCAAGAAACAATGAAGCCGTGAAGGCAGGGATCAAGCGATCGAAGCACTTGGCTTTGTCAAGTTTGATGCCTATCAGGTCTTGTTTACGATCTCTTGCTACATCAATATCAAGCCTCAAGGCTGTGTGCAGCTCAGGCATGGTTCGCCCTTTAACTCCCCCTATGATGCAGTTAGGCATCGAAACGATCTGCCATGTTTGCAGCTGCTCGAATCTGGCCCCGGTGTAGGATAGCCAGAGGGCCGGCAGAATCGTGATCAGCCGTTTGTTCATGGCACTGGAAGGTCCTGGCTTATTGAGGATTACTTGTTTCGAGCATGTCAAGGCTTCCGGCAGTGGAATTTGTGGGTTTTGTTCAATCCATCGAAAAAACCTAGCAATAGGGGCAAAGCAATGCGATGGGAGTGCCTGGAGCTCACAAGTCCGCCACCCGTCAAGTCCTGGAGCTGCAGCTGTCTTGCGCTTATGGACAGTGCGGAAGAGGACATCGGCATCAATCGGCGGCAAATTGGCTTGTGTAGATTTATCATGAATGTATGGCCAAATCGTCTTCAGCATTTGCAAGGGGTGGTCATGGAGAACATTCGCCGCATAAACATCGTCCCACTTGGAGTTGAGGTGCTTTAAGGCACATTCAGGTTGATAAAGGATGTTGCCAAGGTCATCCTCAACAAGATTTGCAGGTTCATCCTGCAATCTATTTCTTAAGTGTTCGAAGATGTAGCCGCGACTAGCAGAATGCTGGATCCGTTGTTTCCATTTTTGAATTCTATCAGTTTTAAGCCGTTTAAAGTGAGACTCAAGTTCATTTAAAACCCATTTCTTGGCTTGCTGGATATGGACCAGTGTGATCAACTCATGATGTGGCCAAACAAACGGCATGCTCAAGGTTCTAAACCGTTTTTGCAACTTGCACGCAGTGACCCGAAAAATGTGTCTGTCCTGATCGGAGGAAAAACCTCTAGCTCTGCGCAGGAAGAGCTCATCAAGTTGTCTCTGGAGCTTATGCATGATAGAGCTTGTTCTTGTTGCCGCACAGTGATTGCGGTGTTGTGGGGGGCACACTTGTTTCGGAATGAAGGTTGGTGGTTGTGCACGAAGCTGTGGACCTTCACCCCAAACACCACCACAAGCCTTGAGTTCATGGATGCAGAACTGGTTAATGACTTGCCATCTAAGGTCAGAGTCCTGTGTTTCCGCGAACCTACGTTCCCATCTGGAATCCCACTCATCGAAAGTGTGGGGTCTATCATGCTCAGGTGACAAGTTCCACCGAGGATCCCATACTGGCTTAGGGACATCTTTGAGATCAAAGGCGGCGGTCTTGTACAGAGTGTACCCAATCACATCCAATGATTCCCATGAAAAGGAACATTCCACCGGGCGGTGCTGACGTCCGAAAAGCTCCACCACACGACAAGATTCCAAAGCAAAAAAAGCCGGTTGGTTCAGGAGGAAACCATCAATGGAAGTGCAACCCTCTCCATGACCTGAAAA